CAGGGCCCCCAGCCGGAGCGGCAGGCTGGCACCCGAGCCGTCTTCCTCCTGGAGCTGGGGGAGCCCGAGGCCAGGGGCGCCTGGAGCGCCGGCTACGTCTCCAACGGCCCCCGGTCCACAGACGTGGCGGTGCTGGCGCCAGCCGGGGCCCCCATCGGGCGCTACCAGCTCAAGATCCACCTGGACTCCGGCTACGGCCAGGCGGCCTCTTATCTCCTGGGGGAGTTTGTCTTGCTCTTCAACGCCTGGTGCCCAGGTAGGCCCAGCGAGCGGCACTCGGGAAGGGGTGTGTGTGTGGCTGATCGGGGTGTGTGGCGTGGGGGTGGGAGTCCCCCCCCTCCGGTTCAAAACTTGCTTCAGTCGAGAAGGGGGGGGGCTGAGCCACAGAGTGGTGGTTCTCCGGGCCCCTTGCTGCTTCTCAGTGGTGCCTGCAGAAGGTCACTGGCTCAGCCCCCCCCCCCGGAGCCCCCTCCCCACCGAAGAACTCCCTCTGCAGGCAGAGAGTCCCTCCCTCCTTGGCGGCAGGAGGGGGGGACCAGTTGTGCAGAAGGCCCAAGTGGGGGCTGCTCTTGTGGGGCCTCCTGCAGCCCCTCAAAACCACTGCCACGTGACCCGGCGCAGTCCCTCACAGAGTTTGGTGTAGTGGTTGAGTGCGCGGACTCTAATCTGGGAGAACGGGTTTTGATTCCCCCCTCCTCCTCCACTTCCACCTGCTGGATGACCTTGGGCAAGCCGTAGTTCTGACAAGAGCTGTTCTTGAAAAAGAGCAGTTTCTGTCAGAACTCTCTCAGCCCCACCTGCCTCACAGGGCGTCTGTTGTGGGGAGGGGAAGGGAAAGGAGGTTGTAAGCTGCTCTGAGACTCCTTTGGGTAGTGAAGGGCCATGGGGTATAAATCCAACTTCTTCTCTTCTTCTTGGGCAGAGCCAGTTTGGTGTCGTGGTTGAGTGCGCGGACTCTAATCTGGGAGAACCGGGTTTGATTCCCCACTCCCCCTCCACTTGCACCTGGCTGGATGACCTTGGGCAAGCCGTAGCTCTGATAAGAGCCGTCCTTGAAAAAGAGCGGCTTCTGTCAGAGCTCTCTCAGCCTCACCCGCCTCACAGGAGGGTGTCTGTTGAGGGGAGGGGAAGGGAAAGGAGTTTGTCAGCCGCTCTGAGACTCCTTTG